GGCCTATGAAAGCCACATACTGCCTGTTTATTTACAACCATAATCAATACAGTTGCAAAGGCCTCTTAAACATCCTCACTCAACAAACTGCTACAACGCTCAACAGACAAACACTAGAAGACCCACCAGGGGCCCCCCTTGTTGAAACCTACATGAACGTCGCTCATTTATCTGCATAAGCGCTTGTTAATCCTACACTTGATATCAACAACTCAGTACCTGACCATGAAGAAGACCACCAACACAGCATCCTATCAAACTTAGGCCATCCCACCAAAGTAGTAAAAGTGTCCACTGAAATAATGTTAGACACACATGGGCTAACAAAGGATGATATTTCATAAATGTTCACAATTAGCTTGCAGCTATTTGTGAATTTGCGTTTTCAAAGTTGCAGAAAGTTTGTGGGCTAACTTGAGTTAATAAAAATGTACTCTTTCAGGATTACACCGATTCCTTTGTCAGAGATATACCAAAGGCTCATGTGCTCATTAACTCAAGTTAGTCAATAAAGGGTATCGCTGAAACACCAAACTTTCTGCATTAGTCATTGGCGAATGCGGTACAACATTCAATTATTGCTTCCAAAGTTACAGATGTTGCAAATATTGTTAGGCATGGAGGCAGACTATGCAGTACAAAACAGATTTGCCTTTATATCTGTCATTTAATGATACTGTCTGCTATTAAAGATTGTCAAATGGGACATTTATTTGAGATATTAGAACCTTTCTTAACTCACAAAGAAATCTGTGGTCTTTTTTTAGGTTAAAATAAACCGTAAACACTATTTTCAGAAACCTTTTAGGCATGACCAACGCTGCCATGCAAGGGTGTCTTTACTCCATTCTTTCCTACTTTCCATTAAGAAGTAAAGGAGACAGTAGCACTTGTAATTATTCTCCATGAAGTGGCGCAATCACTGAATCCAGACTGATGTAGGAAGATGGGTACTGGGAAACAAATTCGATAAATAGCAACTGCTCTGTTATCCATCCAATATCTATTTTAATTGCATCCATGTAAATTAAGAATGCCATGTTCAAAGAATTTTATTCATTTATTTTTTATAATCCACATTTCCTAATCTCTCTAATGTTTCTCTTATAGTCCTTTGTCTTAATCCCCATAATGATATTCACAGTTACAGGGAAAATCCCAGCGCTTACGCTGGCCATAGATGTATCGAATTAGAAGTCAATTTATTGATCAACTGCTGTCAAATGGGACTGTTGAAAATATTTTCTCAATTGGCGGGCTGCAGCACTGATCAGCATATTCTGACAGCAGAGAAGCCCCGCTGTCAGAACCCAATAGCACATCGGGGAAGAATCATCCACCCACCTCGCTTGTGCAGATGGGGGAATCTGTTAGAATTTTTCGATCAACCCGCTGGCTAATCCAACAATCAATTTATGGCCAGCCTTACGCTATGGGTGCACACCAAACCAGAAGCCTATTCGCAACACTATTCTTCATTTTGTACACATGAGCACATCAACTCAAGATGATGTACTTCTGGGCCCCAATTATTAACCTTCAATTCAGGTAATTCTGATGTTCATAAAAAGGGAAAAAAATTCCCGACTGGAGTTTTTCCTTAACAAAATCCTAAGGCCCCTTTCACACTAGGCAGATTCTGCCAACGATCCAATTGCTGAGCACAGCGGAGCAGGTGGACACAGCCCACTCTGCTCCAAGGGAAGTCAGATGTAAACAGACCAACTCTCCGTTTACATATGACTGCTCTCTGATCCGCCCAGACTGAAAAGAACGGATCCACTTTCAATGTTTTTGGCAGATTTGTGGTAGTAAACGGACATAAGACAGGCAGACCCAATCGGAAGGATTATGTGAAAGGGGCCTAAAACAGCAAAGACAACCAAGTTTTTCTGCATCTCCTCCTAATGTAACACAATACAAGCTTTGGAGCTCCACGATAAAAGACGTCAAGTACAACTGTATTAAAAAGTAAATCTTTGAAGCTGTCAGATGCAAAGCATTTCTAAACAACTTTGCACTCTGGAAATTCATTATGGTGACAATTAAGTAAATATTTGCAACATCTGCAAGCCACATCAGCTTGATTGTCAGCCTTTCCAAACAGTTGGCTCCCTGAATGTTTTGAAACTTTAACACGTAGCGTCCCCTGCCAGCATCCATTGTATGCACATACCAGATCATGGTATGCTGTCATCTGTAGCTCAACAACAGTAGGAGAGCTTAAGGATGGGAATGCTGACCTAGACAATGCCTTATAATTGTACCAGTAAAAAAAAAAAAAAAAAAATCTTACATCAATGGACATAATGCATAGCGGTATTTAGTAGATTCTTGTGGCTGGGGAGGAAAAAAAATGACCTTTATTATATAATAAATAGGCTCTCTTTTTTTTTTTACCTCCCATCTTGTAAAATCATCTTTATTAACACTGTAGAATTTTTATGAATTTTTCTATATTTTTAAAAAGTCTTGTATTAGGCACATTTTTGTTTTAACATTCATTAAATAAAACACTGCTTGTGATAACACCACCCAGTGCTAGAAAGGGGGGACTACCCCTCCCCCCACCAACAGGTATAACAGAGTTGAGAGTCCTCATAGCTTATGGACAGTTGGGCAATTGCAGTGTATAGTGGTGTTAACAAGTTAAACAAAGGCTAAAAATCCCCCAATCTATCTTCAGTCTATTATATTTTCATTATTCCAGTCACTGGCTAATCTTCTGTATAATCAGATTCAAAGAAAACGATTATTTAAAAAAAAAAAATGAAATCAAGCCTGCAAGATACATTTTTTTCCTCTTAAAAGGTATACACAACAGCAATATGAAAACATTAAAAAATAACTTACATTAATACACCCACTTATATGCAGTAATGAGCTCAAATTTATGAAGATATATAGAATACTGATGCAATACACACACCCCAAAAAAATAACATATGCAATTAGGATCCATAATTTACAATACAGTAGTTACAAAGGACACACCAAAACATTAAATGCAAATTAAAATTAAAAAATAAAATAAAATAATAATAATCAGAAAAAAACCCCCACTATACTTTATATATATCATTAGACTTAAAACAGGAGTAAGGCGGCTAAGTATTAACGGGATATGAAGCTAAAATTCACAGCTATCAAAAAGTGGCGTCTGTTACATATAGCAGCTCATCTATTATACATTCAAGATAAATGATAAGTTTTATTACTTGCCCAAAGCTAAAAACATTAGTCATAATACCTTTTCTTAAAGCCCACCACTAGACTACAGTATAATTCAGGTCTATGCAAAAAACTTAGCTACCTTTTGTTTATATAGATTTTTTTTTTTTTTCATTTCATTAAAAGAAAATGGATGATTTCAAAGTCTTTGGTGCTGATAAATTAACTGGATATGGACGATGCACAATTTTTAAAAAAAATTTTTTAGAAACTGAAAGAGAAAAACAAATGTCTTGAAATATGCACAAAATTTCGTGTCCCTGACGGAATGTATTAAATAAGCAGTCACCACTCAAAAAACAAAAAAAAACAAAACTAAATAAAATATTGTGTAAAGGAGGCCTTAAAAACTGACACATGCATAAAATGAAAGCTAAAAATTGCACACGAAGTAAAAAAAACCTCACATCTTATCAAACTTCTATAGTAAATAGTCCTTGATACAATTCATTAAATACTGAACGGTTTGCCCAACTGTGGTCACATATCGCGGTGATATCCTCTTCAGCAATGGACAGGCCTGCAAAATATTGCACTGCAAGATGGTGCAGCGTCCACTGAAACTAAAAGGAATTTAGAACACCGCCTATCGAAAACCACGCCAACTATATCGGCAAGATACTATTAAAAAACCCAGCCATTTGGACAAATGCCGTGACACCAAAAAAAAGAATAATGAAGGATCCACTTAGACAATATTGCAGTTCCTGTCGTGATTAAGTGATTACCAACAAAACGTGCAGCTAGCGTTAATCCTAAAATCGAGACCAAACAAAAAAAAAAAATTAAAAAAATCTTAAAAGCGTTTTCAGGCTACGTGAGGCTAAATATCTAGGAAAAAAAAAATTAAAAACAGACACAAACTCATCTACGCAAAAAAGAAAAAAAAAAAGAATAAACGTAAAAAAAAAATTAACATGCTGTTCTGTAGGTAAGGAAACACCTACACCTCATGAGCATACCACACAACCAAACAAAACAAATGAACAACCCCCTAACTGAGCCAAGACTCGAGTTATTCGAAAAAATAGATATTTATATAACCAGCAAATTCCAAGATTAAGTGCTGAACTTGACATTAATATATTAAGTAATAACATTAACAACCTCAAATATTTAAGGCACTATGTGTGGGAACAGTATACAATGCAGCTGATTATTAGGACGACAACATTAAAGAGCACGGTCTAGGCAACGTTTTTGTTTTTTGTTTTTTTTTCTTCTGCCCATGCAAAAGACACATGCAATGTGAACATCAACTCAGTAGCCAAGTGACCCAACACTGAAACACCAAGACATACATAAACAAACAATTGACACGAGTACACTGTACTGCTGACGATATGTGCATTTGTTGCGCTAAACCTGTACGTTGAATGGCTTCCCAAAAAGACGTGTCTTGCACTAGTTAGAAGGCAATTGTATAAAAAATATATCAGGAGAGAGTGAACTCTCTCCTGTAAGTCACCTGTCTAGAGTTACAATAGAAGAGAACAGGACTAGAGACAAGGTATACCAAATGTGCAAAACACATTAAAAGTGATTTTTTTTTTAAAGTGATTTTTTTTTCCAATTTTTTTTAAAGCTCAAGATTGTTTTAAATTGCACCCAAGTCTACGTGATTCAAAAAATATTTTTCTTTTCTTCTTGTGCCATGGCAGAATTTTTTTTTATCTTTTTTTTTTATCAAAAGCCATGTTCTTGTGTTCTGCTTCAAACAAAAGGTTTGAATCTTTGAGCTTCTCCTCTACATGTAGGTTGTTGAGTTCTTACATGTACGGATACTGACTGAGTTTTGTGGGGCTCATGGGAAATCCCGTGTAGGCAGGCGATGCGGTGATATACGAGTGGGATGGGAATATTGGTTTGTACTGAGTCTGGTGGATAGTAGGTGAAGGCAGAAGACGGGGGTTGATTCCTACGGCGACCTGGTGGATGATGCCACTGGGGTGGGAGAAGTTGTAGGCCGGGTGTTGTAAGATTGGTCTTGTGGTACATGGGAGGCCAGGAGGTGGGCCACAGGTGCTGCAGTGCTCAGCGGAGCGGAGGGCGGGTAAGATAGGATGGTGGGCTGGCCCCCCAGGTGAGCATGCACTGCGCTGTGGTTTGGGCTTCCGTGTGGGAGGGTGAAGGGATGACTGGTTACAGTGGGTGTAATGAATGCCTGCTGTCTCCTGTGCCCATAGTTTCCATTCCATTCTTGATGCCCAGATCCAAAATGTTGCACCTGCCAAAAGGAGAATTGTGTAAACTGCATTATTTATTCAGCCTGGACTGAGAAACATACATCTACAAGTAAAAATATTAGTGGCCTATATTTATAAATATCAATAACCGCTGAAAAAAAATGCTACAAAAATTAACTACACACATGAAACATATACAGTGCCTTGAAAATAGTTTTCAACCAAAAAACGTAAATGTATTTTATTGGGATTTGATGCGATAGACCAACACAAAGTAGCACATAATTGTGAAGTGGAAGGAAAATGATAAATGGTTTTCAAATTTTTTTTTACAAATAAATATCTGAAGAGTGTGGTGTGCACTTGTATTCAACCCCCTGAGTCAATACTTTGTAGAACCGCCTGTCGCTGCAAATAAAGCTGCAAGTCTTTTTGGGGATGTCTCTACCAGCTTTGCACATTTACAGTGAAATGTTTGCTCATTCTTCTTTGCAAAATAGCTCAAGCGGTTTGATTGGATGGAGAGTGTCTGTGAGCAGCAATTTTCAAGTCTTGCCACAGATTATCAGTTGGATTTAGGTCTGGACTGTGTCTGATGTTGCATCTGTCCCCCGCGGGATCTAAGTATGAGAACTCAGCGATCACAAGACCGCTGATCGCCGAGCTCTCACAGCTGCTATGAGCTGTCGGCCCAGCCCCCCCCACACTCACTGGAGCGCTGGGCTGTGGAGGGGGCGGCTCAGGCTCTCAGCGGATCGCTGAGAGGTTGAGCCAAATGCTGCTCCAGACTCTGGGCTCTGACTCTCTCCACAGCCTGGACCGGCTGAGCTAAAAACTGGTCAAGGGAGCGCAGAACAAACTGCACTCCTGTGATCCACAGGAGAAGTACAGCCAAAAGAGCTTTGGCTGTATTCCTCCTTTAAGTGTTCACGAGACATATTAACAACTTTCAGGTGCCAGCTTGACATGTAACAAGTTATACACAGTTGATGGACACTGAGCATATCAATTTCTTCTTTCCTAATGGAAAGCAGAAAGGGAAAATAATATAGAAAGAGTCAGTGCTAGGGATGAGACCATTTCAGATCTCATTAACTAAACATGAGAGAGGAAAACAAAAAAAAGCATTAATGGATATTCATTCATATGGTTGTTTGGAGGTGCAGGAAGGGTCTGGCATAAAAATCCAAGCATTTTACCAAGGTCAGGGAGCTGTATACACTTGTAGCCATGTGAATGTAAATGCTTTTTTGCATCAGTGTTTCCTGTATGTGTGTATGACATGTTCTCCCAACATGGAAGTTTTGTTTTCGGGGTATATGTCATACATGCATGTGCATGAAAACATTAATACAAAGAAGCATCGATATCCATGAGTAAAAATGTGTACAGCCATTCACCTCGGTGGGTGTACGCGCAACCTGCGGATAGCCAGCAATGGGGGGAATGCCAGGATTTTTTACACAAGTCCATGTCTGTGCTGCCAAATGTAAGTGTCAGTAGTAAGGCCTAAAACCAATTACAAACTAAGGATGAATGATTTCAATTTGTACACAATATATTCTGCAACACATTTACTAATATTCTTCTATGATAACAGACTTGACTTTATTTGATGTCAAACGACCAAACATACCTGGCTGAAACTCAGAGGCTGTTGCTGCTGGAATGCTGATGTAAGTTTCTGCTGGCGGTTGCCGAGGGCCGTGAGGTGGTTTTTTCTCCCTGGGGCTGACCTGCCTTTTATTAGTGGATGACTAGCTGCATCTGAAACATAAAATTCATGTTACCCTCCTGCAATTAAATATCCCACAATAAAGGAAGGTAGCGCAAACGGTTAGCAATAACACTTCAGAAAAGATGCCAAAATGATTAGACACATAGTACAGGGAAGAAATGTGTAAAGGGAAGGAAATGAGACAAGAAAAGGAAGGGAAGGTTTTTACAAACAGGTCTACAATGAAAATCACCCACCTTTGTTTGTGGCCCTGTGTGAGTTTTCCCTGCGGTTTTCAATCCTGATAGGTGGAACCACTAATGTACACACTGCAGGTTTACTCTCTGCTTTTTCCGATGCCCGTTTTTCTGAGTTCTCATTGGTGTCCGTGACAAAACTGCTCTTTACAAATGGACTATCATGGCCAGAGGAATCAGAGCTTGGTGATCCATCGACAGTATCACAACCACTTTCAGGTTCATCATCCGACATACTGTTGAAGGACAACCCATATTAGATGTATTGCCCTCCGTGGTACAATGGCAGTTTGATGCACTGATGTATACTACTAAAAGACCTCTAACGAGACACCACTGTTTAAAACAACACAATTTTATTTATTTGCACTCATTTTGAATTCCTAATCATATGCGGTTTTTATTGTATGTTTTTATAAAATATCTCTTTGGGGAGTTTTTACTTCACGTCCTGTCTCAATACACAAGAGGAAACGAAAGGCAATGTCTCCAAAGTTAGGGAAATCTTAGACAGTTGTCACAGAAACAGGTTTCCCCATTGAAAGGTTTCCTCACTATCCCTGCTCTACATGAAACTCAAAATTTTCGATCTTCCCTTTTTTCCAGTCTAGGTAACAATGGTCACCGGGACAAATAGAAAGGGTGAATCTCCTCACCAAGTAAACAAAAAGCAATAAAAACCTAACAGTAGTTCTAACCCTTCCCTACTCTTTGAAATGAAAAAAAAAAAAAGCATTTCCTTTAGATACTTAAGAAAAGATATTTACTAAAAGAATATGTTTGAAAGCCACTACAGTAAAAAGGACATTTGAACTTGAATCAATCCTTTTGTTATTTGGCTGATAATGTTTATGTCCATTTATGAAGTCCTAACCAAAGGGCATCCTAGTATTAGCACTGGAGGTTGCATGCACTACATAATCAAGTCAATGGTTTTGGAAAAAGTAATTCACCTGTTGGGTCTTTTGCACGGGGATGGGCTGGACTGGCCAGAGGAGCTAGTGCTCAGGGTGCTGTCCGGACTGCTCAGGGAACACACGCGATCAATGTTCAGGGTACTCTGACAGGCCTCACAGTCCAGACTTCCTTTACACCTGGGTGACATAAGCAATTCATTAATTAGTGCACAAAGTGACATTGGCATTTGAACTTTTTTTTTTCGTCATTTTTTCATAGCTCTGAAGAAAGGGGTGCATCCCCCAATACGTGTGCAGCATCAAGTTGTGTTTGGCCAGGCTATTGCCGTATTGGATTAAAATTCAGTGTCATACAATGCCTGTATACATTTATTTGTGTAAGTATCCACTTGGTTGTATGCTTTGTTTTATACAATAAATGTTCAGTAATGCACTTAGCTGGTGTTTCTAAACTGTTAGAAATTGACTAAGGGCCCATTCACACTATAAACTGCACCTGGGTTTGATATGCATTTACAGTGTGTTTTTGGCATGGGGAAGGATCATCAAAAGGAGTGAAAAGTATTATCTGCTCCCAGAGTCACATTTATGTTCATTGTACTGATGCGCATTTATGTGAGTTTGTGTTGTGAAAAAAAATGCAGCTTGCACTACCTGCACACTCTACCTCCAGCTGTCAGTACTCCTGTACCGTTTCAGTTAGAAAGCTGGAGGAAACTTCAATGGATTATGAGAGTGCTGATTACTGCACATGTAGTTCATTGAAACTACAAGTCCATCTGCTGTGGGGGAAGATGGGGTAGTTATTATTATTATTATTACTAACGAGTTTATATAGCGCCAAAGGGTTTGCTCAGCGCTGTACAATAGGGGGGGACAATACATGGCACAGTACAACAAGTTATCACTAACAGATCTCTGTGAATGAATGACGTGGCTATGGGGTCGAAACCCTGCACAGCTGCAATGATTTTAAATGTGACAGCAGCTGTGGGGGGAGAAGAACCTCACCAGCTGTCACAGGAGGGTGCTCAGGGGTTCTTAGTAACATGTTACGCCCTAAATACAGGTATAATGTGCCAAAAGGTGAGCTTGGCCTTTAAACTCTTTTACGGCTTGTTAAGAATATATACACAGTTAAATGTCCATTGTCTGGGCACATGAGCACTTAAGCATCTCGGAGACTGATAGCATTAACCCTTTAAAAGTCTTAACCAATCAGCATTGCAAATATATTTTATAAAGCTTTCCCTATAATACCAAAAGTTCTCTGAGATACACTATATTGCCAAAAGTATTGGGACGCCTGCATTTACCCACACATGAACTTTAATTGCATCCCAGTCTTAGTCCGTAGGGTTCAGTATTGAGTTGGCCCACCCTTTGCAGCTACAACAGCTTCAACTCTTCTGGGAAGGCTGTCTACAAGGTTTAGGAGTGTGTCTATGGGAAGGTTTGACCATTCTTCCAGAAGCGTATTTGTGAGCTCAGGCACTGGTGTTGGATGAGAAGGCCTGGCTCATAGTCTCTGCTCGAATTCATCTCAAAGGTGTTCTAATTGGGTTGAGGTCAGGACTGTGCAAGCCAAACAAGTTACTCCACCCCAAGTGGAGAACATGAAATTGTCCAAAATGTCTTTGTATGCTGACACCTTAAGAGCTCCCTTTACTTGAACCAAGGGCCAAGCCCAACCCTGAAAAACAACCCCACACTATAATCCCCCCTCCAGCAACCTTTACACTTGGCACAATGCAGTCAGACAAGTACTGTTCTCCTGGCAACTGCCAAACCCAAACGCATCCATTGGATTGCCAGACAGAGAACACGTCTCCACTGCTCTAGAGTCCAGTGGCGATGTGCTTTACACCACTGCATCCGAAGCTTTGCATTGCACTTGGTGATTTAAGGCTTGGGTGCAGCTGCTCGGCCATGGAAACCCATTCTACGAATTCTCTCTATGCACTGTTGTTGTGCTAATCTGAAGGCCACATGAAGTTTGGAGGTATTTAGCTATAGACTCTGCAGACAGTTGGCAACTTATGTGCACTGTGAACCCGCTCTGTCATTTTACATGGCCTACCACTTCATGGCCGAGTTGCTGTTGTTCCCAGTTGCTTCCACTTCTTGATGGAAGCTTGATGCTAGGTGCTTGATTTTATACACCTGTGGCCATGGAGGTGATTGGAAGGGTGATTTGGAGGGGTGTCCCAATATTTTTGGCAATATAGTGTATCAGCGAGTGGTTCCAAAGGTACATTCTAGTCAAACATGAACATTTAACAAAGATATACCCAAACTGGACAAAGTTAACCTGCCAAAAACTTTTAATTGTAACACAAACAATGCTTCAACAAGTCATTAAACGGTTAAAATGTTGTGGCTAACTGTAATATGGCGTTCCGAGAATACCTCAGTCTCTCAGTCTACATGCCAGGGATACCTAAATTTGCCCATGAGTCTTTTGCAGTCTAGCTGTGCATATTCCTGATCGTTCAGAAAGGAATTATTCATGACCTTGCTCCAGTTCAGCTGCAATCTCCAGGAAGCATAACATGCAGAGTAGAGAGAGGGAGCATGCATAAAAAGGTGACTGGCAAGAATGAGGGTCTTTCTGGAAGCCTTCCAAAGACCCAGATCTAACTGGCAAAGGAAATGTTATAAATGAAAGAATATAAAGGGAACTGCAAGGACCTTCTGACTTTGAAAAGTGGCAATTTCTGCTGGATACCATCACTGGTTTACTGAATGTTATAACCCAAGGTCACTAACACATGTAAAGCAAGGCTGCTTTACCAGCCAAAGGATTTTCATTTTTGTTTTTTCAGTCCTGCCTGATTTGCTGACTTTTTCTGCTATAGTAAACAATATAGCTACCGTATATATACTCGAGTATAAGCCGAGTTTTTCAGCACATTTTTTGTGCTGAAAAACGGTCCCCTCGGCTTATACTCGAGTCAACATCTGCAGATAGTTGGGCGCGCTCCCCCTCCGTCAAGGGGGGCGCGTACAGGGGTGGGCAGAGGGCTGCTGTCTCTTACCTGGCTCCCGATGATCCATCCAGGAAGCGCTGCTCCTTCCGTCACTCCGGCCACTCCCTCACTCCTGCCGCTCGGCTACGCCTCCTCACCGGTGATTGGCCACCAGAACTGTAGCTCAGGAAAGGTACACAGGCGGCCAATCACGGGCGAGGAGGCGGAGCCGAGCGGACCCACGAAAATCGAGTGAGGGAAAAGCCGGTAAGTGTGCAGTGCAGAGGTGCTGCTGCAACCACATATGCTGGCTGCAGCAGCACCATACTGCAACAGGGGTCAGCAAGTGTCATTGGTGTCAGTGGGAGGAATAGTGCCGCATCATTGGGGTCACTGATACTAATGATGGGGCATTATTCCTCCCACTGACACCAACGATGGGGCACTATTCCTCCCACTGACACCAATGATGGGGCACTATTCCTCCCACTGATACTAATGATGGGGCATTATTCCTCCCACTGACACCGATGGGGCACTATTCCTCCCAGTGATACCAATGATGGGGCACTATTCCTCCCACTGACACCAATGATGGGGCACTATTCCTCCCACTGACACCAATGATGGGGCACTATTCCTCCCACTGACACCAATGATGGGGCACTATTCCTCCCACTGACACCAATGATGGGGCACTATTCCTCCCACTGACACCAATGATGGGGCACTATTCCTCCCACTGATACTAATGATGGGGCACTATTCCTCCCACAGACACCAATGATGGGGCACTATTCCTCCCACTGACACCAATGATGGGGCACTATTCCTCCCACTGACACCAATGATGGGGCACTATTCCTCCCACTGACACCAATGATGGGGCACTATTCCTCCCACAGACACCAATGATGGGGCACTATTCCTCTTCCCACTGACACCAATGATGGGGCACTATTCCTCCCACTGACACCAATGATGGGGCACTATTCCTCCACTGACACCAAATGATGGGGCACTATTCCTCCCACTGACACCAATGATGGGGCACTATTCCTCCCACGGACACCAATGATGGGGCACTATTCCTCCCACTGACACCAACGATGGGGCACTATTCCTCCCAGTGATACCAATGATGGGGCACTATTCCTCCCACTGACACCAATGATGGGGGCACTATTCCTCCCACTGACACCAATTTTTTACATTGACTAGTAGGTGCCTCATTTCCCACCCTCGGCTTATACTCGAGTCAATAGTTTTTCCCAGTTTTTTGTGGTAAAATTAGGTACCTCGGCTTATATTCGGGTCGGCTTATACTCGAGTATATACGGTAGGTCTTTTTCTTGTTGCCAGCCTGTGATTGGTATTTTTGGAGAATATCTACACGATTATACTTCTCTCCAACATATCTATGCAGATTGGAACCCCTGAGCTGGGGATCAGTTCGGTTACGTTTTTAATACGCATATGTGGTTTGTTACCTGGCCTATAGCTGCACCCTTGATGGAGGGACCTCCTTTTGGATTTAAATAGTCATGGCTCCCTGTGGCGAATTATGAAAATTTTTATGCCATCATCTGAATTATATGCTGTATGTCCCTGAGGAAGAGGGCTATTGTCCTGCGAAACGCATCAGAGAAAAGATTGATGCAGGATCTTGAAGAAATTATGTCAACTATGCTAGATATGTCATCCAGGGATATTCTCTGTAATGTCATGCAATAAGCCTGTTATTTTGCACAAGCTACACGTCTTTTAATATGGGCTATGTGAATGCTCAAAACCTCTACCACAACTGTGGTTTTAATATTGTTCAATAAAGCTTTAACTTTTTATATTTTGAGTATTGATCTTCTTTTTGGTGCCCCATTAGTTTTTCTTAGTTAGGGTCCCTATGTTTTACTGTGGGGGAACAGCTCCAGACTGAAGCGGAGTCCTGCAGCAAAAGCTGTCTTTTAATGAGCCATACTTTTTTTGGCTGGAGTTCTGTTTTAAAACCAGGGTACATAAACCATTCCTACAGCCACTAGCTTTGTGACACTTGGCCATCTGCAGTGTGAAGGGTCCCAATTTTAGCTCAGTTATGGTGAAAATACTGCTGAAACATTTCAGTACAGTACAAATAAAGTTTTCTTTATAAGGTATTCCCCAGGACAATGTCAATCATCACTTACACCCATCTGGATATATAAAATATGAAGAAGCACTTACTCCCTCAAGGAGTGTGTCTGTGAAGAGTCCTCCTCATCTGTGTCACTGCTGATGGTAATGACACTCACTGTAGGGCTGGGTGAATCAGCAATAACTATGGTTTGCCTTTGTTGACTGGATACATCCAGTGCTGCCCCTTCGGAGGCCTTACACAAGCTGACCTCCTGCTCCTCTGAGTTCTGATTGTCTTCTGGTAACGTACAACTTGCAGGTTCTGTGGTCTTTGCGCTGTTTGAGATCTTTGGAGAGGTAAGTGCTTTATTATGGACAACAGGGTCCTGTATTGTGTGTTACTCCTGCAGACAAAGATGATGTGATCAGTAGAGGCAAAGCAGCAATCACAGTTGGAAACATTTTATTCCAGCACATTACTGTCTGAGCTAAATTTATGTCTTCTTACCTGTTCTGGCAAAGCTTGTTCCTTTTGCTAGCAGCAGGCTGGGGCCACACCACATGTGCGATGCCTAAACTGATAGGCTGAGGAGCCGACAGTGTCATTTGGTTGGTTAAAAGAGGCTGTAGGATCATTGAGCTGTAATGGTTCCCATGGTGAATTACTTTCCTATAAAAACAAAAGTAAAAATAATAAAAAAGCAGATATTTGAAAGTCTCACATGACAAAAGCGTGATTGTTGGAGTGCATGTCAAAGACCACTGGCAAAACTAGCCAATCCAACATTCTGCCCCCCTTCCAGCCAGTGGCTTCCTTTTCAGAGCACCAGGAGTAGGTCTTAATTACTCCATGCTCCATGTGCTGAGACATCTGGTTAGTGCAAGCTATTCTCAGTTCTTTACCAGAAGAGTCACAAACTTTTTCCCAGTTTCTCAACCTTGGATGCACCACAGAAGTCACAAGTTTAATATTTTAATGTTTTATTTTAACCATAAATCTTTGTTTGATTATTTGATTTATGCGATTTTAATACTATCTGGCATATGAGCGCTGCATATTTTTTATGGTCAATTTACTATCCGAAGTTCTCGAGGTTTACTTCCTATGCTAGCTGCTTGTTTTATTTATTTATCTTTCTTCTTATTAATTTTTAGACACCTAGCGCTGTTGCACTTTATTCTAAGTGGTTGAATAAACTCACTAGCCTTTACCAAAAAGCTGAAATGATTGTACCTTTAGATTTGAGCTACTAAACTAACCTTGCAGATTAAAATGTAAACTTTTCCTAAAGTGAGCTCTATGACAAGTACCCAACACCCAACGGTGCCTGCATTCTCATATCAGGAAGCTCCCTACCCACTTGCACTCTTGGGTTCCAGAGGTTCCTGGGTGCCCACTAGTAGAGAACTTTAAAGGCAATGCTACAGGTCAGGATTTAGAGATGTCTACATTGCATCTACAATGTTAGTATAATAGCTTTGTGCAAGCAACAGATACATTTTTTCGTTATCATCCATGAAAGCAAATCTCAAACAGTTCATGATCACCAAGCATGATAAGGAGGTTTTAAAAGGCTGTGATTTACTACACTTCCTCAGTGTTCATATGAACAGGGATACCAGAATAACAAAATGTATACGAGCTTTGCTAGAAATTACATGAAAGTGTAATTTTACACCTCTTTCCGTTAATCTTATACAACAAGCACTGCCTTGAGAAACGATAAAGGATTGTTTCAATGTATGATCTGTAATTGTATTTCTACATAGGACATATGGGACTTCTGCTTTCTTCTTAGCAGACCTTCAAAATGATTGTTTCTCCTTCCTTATGAAACGTACTCTCATTAGACCTAAATACATCTGTAGCTCTTTAAATCAAAGAAATGCTAACATCCCAAGGATATTTATGTTTTAGCAGATCTGTGCTTTGGCCCAGAATTGACAGACCAACGCTACCTGGTCGCAGACACTGGACAGGATCGTTGTAAGGCAATGGCACTAAATGGCTGCCTCTGCCTAAGCAACCAATCAATGCCCCTGCCTCACACAGAACAAGAATCTACAAGTCTGCAGAAGACTTACAAAGCCAAGCATCAAGAACATATTGTAAGACATACCCCCAGTCGCCAAGTCTCTGTGGTCCAGCCATGCTATCAGAGGCTAGCGTTGTAGTTGTTGGTGCCACTGTTGTCACTTGTTGCCATGCAGGAACCAATATGGGCTGCGATCCATTTGACCACGTTTGCTGAAAGGGATATTGATATTAGCATCTTTGGGGACACCAATGAAAATGTTAGCTATGTGATACAAACAGACTCACCTGTGAGAGAACACCAGGTCTTATCTGCAGGGGTTGGATGGCAGGGGCTTGTGTGACCAGGGGCACAGTGTTGTCCACTCGCACTGAGTAACTTGTGGGTTTCCCGTGGTTTGGTGGCATTCCTGCTAGAGAAAGAAACATTTTAAAAAACATACATATCTATTGTCATGAAACTAAAAAGCCAATCAAGACATATAACTACACTATAAAGAAGAGGAATATGTTCAAAATATAAAACATTTGTTTCTGAAGTAGGACTAAACATAGCCCACCTGGCCAGGGCAGTCTGTAAATGCACGGGGGCAATCCCTGACATGGCCCAAACAAAAGAGTCCCAGGAACACTGAATTCTGACTCCTAAGATTCTCCAGACAAGCGACTCTCCACTTTTCCCATCACTCTGGCTGCAATCTAATTGTACACAACCTTGACTATTCAAAGCATTTACTCACTCACATATTCCATAAATATGGAAGCCTACTTCAAGAAAATGTGTAGCTTAAAGGAGAGAACACAGTACAGCACAGAGGGAATAGTAAGAGGCTGCAGTACTGCCAAGAGGACTTCTACAAGGCCTGCTAATAGAAGAATTATATAGCATTCACAACAAAGTAAATGGAGGAGACATTCCACATTTTAAATCAGCTTTTGTACTGCCTGCTTTAAAATGAAAAGACTTACATTTAGTTCTTTATGGGAGCATTAATAAAATTAGCATGCCTTCTATTTTTCCCTTTGTGAGTTAACAAACGCTTTTATTATTTTCAGTGCAAATTGCGTGTGCTTTTCCCTGCAAAGCTGTATGATTTTTTTGTTCATATAGGACTAAAAGCACCACATACTAATAAAAACAGCAACAGATAAAATTCACTCAAAGTGTTTAAAGGCACAGTATCATTACGGAACAGGATTTTGGAAAAAAGGAAAAAAAAAAAACCTTTATTACTTTCTGATTACTCTGCTTGGTTGTTCTTTTCTGTATTTAAGAGATGTTGTTTCTTGACGAATCTTTAGTATCCAATACTTTTTAATGTAGGATGCGTAGTCCCCCCTCTGCTCTCTGAGGTTCCTCCTGCTGATATCAATACTGTGGGCAGCAGAATAAACCACACTATGCAGCAAACAAGGCATCTTGCACATCTGGAAGTGACTGATGCTGAATATTCTTCAAGCAGTAGTATCTCTTAAATACAGAGTGGTGGCATGGGCAGCAAGACAGGTAAGACATGCACACTGTTTGCCATTAAAGCTTTTTTTTCTTCTATAGGAGCTTAGCAGCAGAAAAAAATGCAGTTAAAAGCCAAGCTCTACGTGTGTTCCCGCATCTGGTGTTAATTCTGTTGTCCAGAATTATGGCCATTAGAATGCATTAACGCAGGAACACACCCACTTCCTGATGACGATTGACTGATCGAAACCGGTCAAGGTTTGATGATGCAACTTCTGCTGACGTCATTTCCGCCCGCTGGAACACTCCAACCATCTTGGTTCCTATTCACAAGCAGCAAGGCTAAATACACTGAGTGCCAGGTTATGGGCACTTTGCTTGTGAGTTTTATTCTTATAATTTCTCCCAATCATGAAAGTTTTTTATGGTTTTACACTATGGGATGTTTGCTTTTGTTTCTGCCTGGGAGGAGAGGAGAAAGTTTTAAAAAGGCTCTTTTGAAACTACACTGTCATTTATATCCACACTGGCCATCATCCTATTGGTTACTATCAGTCAGATCACATGATTTCCAGGAATGAATATTGGTGCCATTTTTACCATCACGTATTGAGCTAGTCCCTAACCAGGCGCTTATAACCAACCTAGAGATAGGTGGTCCACTGCTAACGGTGAGTGCACATCCATGTGGGGCACCGATTGAGCACAGAGGAGCATCTGTCAGTTTTGCACGAAGTTCACCAATTAGTATCCAACACCTGAGCACTTTATTTTTCCGAATTGGGACTGAATGTTACAATTATTCACTTTGTATATGTCAGTGATGGCGAACCTTTTTGAGCCCGAGTGCCCAAACTGCAACCCAAAACCAACTTATTTCTTTCAAAGTGCCAACACTGCAATGAAACCTGAATATCGAGCTTTTGGTTTAGAAAAAACAACTCGTACAGTAGTGCAAACTAAATAACAGTACAGGGATGACCAGAGACTGCGGACACAGTACAGGGATGACCAGAGACTGCGGACACAGTACAGGGATGACCAGAGACTGCGGACAGTACAGGGATGACCAGAGACTGCGGACAGTACAGGGATGACCAGAGACTGCGGACAGTACAGGGATGACCAGAGACTGCGGACACAGTACAGGGATGACCAGAGACTGCGGACACAGTACAGGGATGACCAGAGACTGCGGACACAGTACAGGAGATGACCAGAGACTGCGGACAGTACAGGGATGACCAGAGACTGCGGACAGTACAGGGATGACCAGAGACTGCGGACACAGTACAGGGATGACCAGAGACTGCAGACACAGTACAGGGATGACCAGAGACTGCGGACAGTACAGGGATGACCAGAGACTGCGGACACAGTACAGGGATGACCAGAGACTGCGGACACAGTACAGGAGATGACCAGAGACTGCGGACAGTACAGGGATGACCAGAGACTGCGTACACAGTACAGGAGATGACCAGAGACTGCGGACACAGTACAGGGATGACCAGAGACTGCGGACACAGTACAGGGATGACCAGAGACTGCGGACAGTAGAGGATGACCAGAGACTGCGGACAGTACAGGAGATGACCAGAGACTGCGGACACAGTACAGGAGATGACCAGAGACTGCGGACACAGTACAGGAGATGACCAGAGACTGCGGACACAGTACAGGAGACGACCAGAGACTGCGGACACAGTACAGGAGATGACCAGAGACTGCGGACACAGTACAGGAGATGACCAGAGACTGCGGACATAGTACAGGGATGACCAGAGACTGCGGACATAGTACAGGGATGACCAGTGACTGCGGACAGTACAGGGATGACCAGAGACTGCGGACAGTACAGGGATGACCAGAGACTGCGGACACAGTACAGGGATGACCAGAGACTGCGGACACAGTACAGGGATGACCAGAGACTGCGGACAGTACAGGGATGACCAGAGACTGCGGACACAGTACAGGGATGACCAGAGACTGCGGACACAGTACAGGAGATGACCAGAGACTGCGGACACAGTACAGGGATGACCAGAGACTGCGGACACAGTACAGGAGATGACCAGAGACTGCGGACAGCACAGGGATGACCAGAGACTGCGGACACAGTACAGGGATGACCAGAGACTGCGGACACAGTACAGGGATGACCAGAGACTGCGGACAGCACAGGGATGACCAGAGACTGCGGACAGTACAGGAGATGACCAGAGACTGCGGACAGTACAGGGGATGACCAGAGACTGCGGACAGCACAGGGATGACCAGAGACTGCGGACAGCACAGGGATGACCAGAGACTGCGGACAGCACAGGGATGACCAGAGACTGCGGACAGCACAGGGATGACCAGAGACTGCGGACAGCACAGGGATGACCAGAGACTGCGGACAGCACAGGGATGACCAGAGACTGCGGACAGCACAGGGATGACCAGAGACTGCGGACAGTACAGAGATGACTGCTGACCTTTGGGGAGGGAGGGGGAGCGGGTACCTGAATTTGACAGGTACCCGCTCTTACTTCCGCAGAGTTTTTTTTTATCTTACCTGTTCCCTTATCCAGCCGCGCGTCTTCCCGGCTTCTGTAGTGTGGGGGCGCTCGTCGGACAGCCGGATGCCCAGTGCGCATGCGCGAGAAGCGCTGCGCTTTGTGATTGGTCCGGCGGCTTCTGGGATCTGTCATGTGTCCCAGGTACCGCCTTACCATTCACAAAGAGCACTGCTTCTTGTGCATGCGCACTTGGGACCCGGCTGTCACGCACACTACAGCCGGGAAGACAGCGCGCCGCTGGATTCTCCTGGCGTGCCCACAGATAAGGCTCGGCGTGCCGGCTGTGGCACGCGTGCCACGGGTTCGCCATCACTGGTATATGTGAAGCAATATTACTTATGTATTGTCAAATTTAATGCACTTAATTTATGCGCGGTCCACATGGTATTTTGTTTGTTTTTGCGTTATCAGTTCGCAAATTAGGACTGCAGCGTATACTTATCAAAGTTGCATGAATATCTATTCCTAAGCACAACAGTACAATATTTTAGTTAAATATATGTTAATGAGCTTTTGAGCATTTTTGTGCTCAAAAGCTCCTCTCCTGGATGCACATAAGCTAATATAGAGGGTATTTTACAGGAAAAATGTAAAAAAAAAAAGCTCAAACACCTGTAGAAACAGCTTTTTTGAGCTGAAGTATACACGAGACCTTGAACACCATTTTCATAGAGCTCTATTTTATATTTGTTACGGTTTATTTTCTCTGTTAGGTGGCAACAGTGTTGCTTTTAGATAAAAGTAAGTATTATATCTGGATAGGATACCTTGAAGGGCTGGGGGACAAAGGATCAACGTTTGCTGAAAAGCATCATTGCAACCAAATGGAGCAGCTCCCGCCTGCACTGGTATCCCATGATGTATAACTGTATGGCCTGATGTGGTTAAAGCCTGGAAGACAAATATTAAACAATGTAATTAGAAAGCTGTTCTGTCTGTATTTTATATTACAAAAAAATTAATAAAAATACAAATGTTTATTGGACTACTTGTACAGTACCACAGGTATATTACTATTACTGCAGGATATTCGTTTATATCCAAGGTGTAATTCTTTTAATCACCCACTAGAGGGCTCACTAACCACATACAAAACATGTTCATATTACACCCTGCAGAGCTGTTTGCAGATTCCTTACTTATCCGTAAGTTCCAGCATCTTCCCTACCACAGCACAAAGTGAGGACATACGGGAAAAAACATTTTCTTTGGCTGCACTTTTCATCGTCACATGCTGTGTTTTCTAACAATCACATCCCCAGTTTCACTTTACAAATCTGATCTGATTTATTGGTATAAGATAGCTGGCTGTGGCTCTACCTTGCTGGTCTTCCAGCACCTCCAGGGCTCTGTTTCTGATTCAGCAGACCTCACCCATGGAACCAAATATTTCCCCGTCCCCTTCAGACACCCTGAACAAGAACGGGAGGGAGACTGGCATAGCATTTTCTATAAAGTTGTCTGCTTAAAAGGAACCTGTAGGGGCAAATAAATATTGACTGCCTTTCAGGGAGCTCCAGAGCTGTCATAGTAATCCCTGCATCATAATTAAGTCACTGACCCAAACTGACGTGCATATCAGAATGCAAAGGGAGGATAAAAATGACAGGCCTGGAGCTTGTGCTTGGCAGAATTCTAAGATCTGAGTATCTCTCCAAGTTTAAATCTGAATGGTTGCTACATGACAATACAGACAGTTCTCATGAAGAATTTTAACATCTTTTCTCCGGTCGTTTTCCAGCTGTGTTATGAATTTGGTTTCTGTAAAGAATACGGAGAGCTCTGAGAGTCAAGTTGATTAATGAAGACACTTTCGCACTCACCTGACCCCTGACGCTGCCAAGCTTGGAGAAACCGGCTGAAATGTTAGCTGCGTTGGCTGAGGCCACCGGTCTCATGACTGATGTTTTATTGCGGTTAACTGTGTCACCCAAGCTGGGACGTGACTTGCAGACATCCATGATATGGAAACAAGATTTCACACTGTTGGCAAAAAACAGATATAACTTCTTAATAAAGCATGTTTAATAAAAGGTTACAGTGAGTTGTCTGTACTACCTCTAAGATTGTAAGCTCCCAGGATCAGGGCCCTCCTGACCCTCTTATTTTGAACTGTATTGTTGCTGTATTGTCTCCCGTTATATTGTAAAGTGCTGAGCAAACTGTTGGCGCCATATAAATCCTGTATAATAATAATACTACCACTATTCAAACAAATCAAGATAATTGTGCTTGTCAGTAGCTAATATTTCTGCTGCAAACTCCAGTGACATTAATAGAAATCTGTAGAGAAAGCGAAAACCAAAAAAATATGCAGTGGCCTTTAACAGCTAAGATCTTTCCCTCTACCCTTGAACCCCCCCCCCCCCCCTCCCTGTGACAGCGGGCAGGGGATAATCTCCCTGCACCTGTTGTCACAATTGGACAACAGTGCAGCCATGCGGGGCTCCACCCACATGGCCGTGTCATTCATTCACAGTTTCCAGTGAATGAATGCCTACAAGTACGGTCAGCCATTGAGGCTGTAATCTTGTAAACCTCAATGAACTACGTGGACTTTGGTGAGTGCTCTGGTAGTCAATTGATTCTTCCTGTTCTCAGGTAACTGGCTGTCCATACAAGGTACAGGCAGACAGCTATCCTAAGAGTCTGCAGGAGCCTAACATTTCACACACACCCTGCTGATCGCACGTACAATGCTCTACATATTCCTTAGAAAAAAATTATAAATATACTTTTTTTTTTTTACAAAAAAAAATGTGCATTTATTTTTCTTTTCAAAAGGTGAACTTATCCTTGAAAGCGGAGTTCCACTCACACTGTCAAAAAATAAACATCAGCAGCTACAAAAACTGTAGCTGCTGACTTTCAAAAAACAGCCACTTACCCGTCCCGCAGTGTCCCCCTCGGTCCGTTTCACCAGCCGTCCTGTATTCCAGGCCGCCGGCATCTTCAGTTTGGGCATTTGGCTGTGACAGCTCGCGTCTTCACAGCCGAGTACCCACTGCGCATGCGCGACTAGCACTGCGCTTCATGAATGGTCCTGTAGTCTTCTGGGACCTGTCACGTGTCCCAAAAGACTACAAGGAGGGAGGAAGGGAGGACACCTTCGCCTTCCAATCGCCTAGGCGATCGGACCGGAAGTGGGAGCGGGTACTTGTCAAATTCGGGTACCCGCTCCCCGCCCCCCCCCAAAGGTGCCAATCCTTAATGGGGAGCGGGGGAGCAGTCCTTAAAGCGGAACTTCCCCTTTTGGGTGGAGCTCCACTTTAAAGTTCTGCTCCACTCCTCTAACACCCTGAAAGATCTAGTATGTCCAAGGATTAGACCCCTGTGGGAAACGGGGCACACCTGTCAGCGTTTACATACAATTGTCCTTTGTGCTGGAGTAGTGAATTGCAGGTATCCAGGCCATGCTGCAAAAAAACAGGAGACCAAACATTGAGAGACTATGAAAAATGTATTTATTCATAAAATGTCAAAAGAGAAAGCCATTGTCTTTTCAGGGGTTCAAGGGGTCCACCGTTATCCTTTTCTAATTCAGAGGAACCATTAGAGCTTTTGTAATGTGTTGGCTTGCTCTTTTGGCATCTTATGATAAAGTAAACTCTTCATGCTCCCCAACATTATATCTGGCATGTCTGTCTGTTTCTGTACCTTTCAAATTTTACTAGAAGCACCCCATATAGGTTTCCTATAGTCTGTTCGCTGCCTACACTGCTATACTGCAATATGGTTTATATCTTGACGCAGGTCAACTTTCATTTGGATCCAGCATATTCTACCTCCACCTCTCGCTAAGTAAGGAGCAGGCAGCTTAGTATCCCTGCTAAGCATTGTCTGCCTTAGCTAGTTTATTTTAAAGTGGTTGAAGCCATGAAATCTGAACAATGCATATTTTTCTAGTGTTTATTTGCCTCTCTTTAACCACTTCCTGTCCGGACACTTTCACCCCCTTCCTGACCAGGGCAATTTTCAGCTATCACACTTTGAATGACAATTGCGCTATCATGCAACACTGTACCCATATGAATTTTTTACCATTTTTTGAGACAGATAAAGCTTTATTGGTGGTATTTATTCACCACTGGGATTTTTATTTTTTTTGCTATGTAAGTGATAAAGTCCAAAAATTTTGACAAAGTGTTTTTCTTAAAAATTTTGCAAATAAATAATATTTCATCATAAATCTTGGCGAAAATTTATTCCGTTGTCTTTTTAGTAAAAAAAAAAAAAAAAAAAAGCCAAATTAGTTTATAACCAAAAATTATAAATTTTTAAACATTTTGTTTACATTTGTATTTAATTTTTTATGGTGACACACTGTACTACTTTTTTTTTTTTTTTTTTTTTTACAGTGATTGCTTTTACACCCATATAGGCTGTAAAAGCAATCATTTCTCTTTCTCTCTGTCTGCATTCTTGCAGCCATTGAGAACTAGTGAGTGAGCTGTGATTGGTCACAGCTTGGCACATGGTACAAGGCTGTGAATAGCCTTGTACCATGTGACCTCTGTGATCATTCACAGATTTCACACGTAGTAAGCAATGATGTCACAAGTGACATCTTGCTTACTACTTTGCATGTGATCACTGATTGGCCAAATCAGTGATCACATGATCGGGACCTCGTACAGAGGTCCCGTCCGACGATTGGTGTTTCACTGTGTCTGGAGGACACAGCGGGCACCAGATCGCGGTGCTGCGCGCTCACAGGGAGCACGCACAAGCAGGGTGCAGGGAGGTCGTTAATAAACGGCCACCCGACCCTGCAGTGCCACCATCCAGCCGTTTATATACAACGGCCGGACGGAAGGTGGTTAAAGAACTAAGTCCCATTTTTCACTGCTCACAACTTTTCCTGACATCAAGAGCTAAAAAGGGAACAGGGAAAGGCGCTCCAGCACACAGCTTGTGATTGATAGTCTCAGTTTTGTGTGACCGGGGTGTGTCTCTTCCATTAAATCAGCTCTAATAGCTCTTGAACAGTGTGTAACAACATCCCCACCTCCAGCTTTTTGAGTCTGTGAAAAATAATTTTCATGTTCAAGTTTTACAGGGATGTAAAAGACAAATGGCTGCAGATAGACAGGTACAATGTATGTAGGAGGATTTGTTTCATCCCTGTGTATCACCTGAGTCCAGTCACTTCAGTGAGTATAGGGAAGGTTTTACAACCATTTAAACCTAACACAGGTTAAGAGTAATAAGAAATTTTTAAAGCGTTTTGTTCAAACCAGATAAAAAAGCTGTGGTATGCAGTAAAGTTCAGTTTAATTATATATTAAATATCCTGGCAAATTATTTTACATCCTTCATATAAAAAAAAACCCCAAAAAAAACAAAAAACATCTATCATCTGAAATCTGATGAGCTCATCAGCATCACTGCGATTTACAAAGCCCTCTTCACTCTCATCTTTTATCCCAGTCTCTTTCTTGTTTCAGAGTCTGAAGACATCTTACACAGGGATCACTAATCAGCATGTGCTAGGGGACCAGAGTCAGAACTCTCAATAATGAAAGATGATTTTCAGAAAACTGCTGACTAAAGCAGAACTTATTACCCATGTCTTCCCAAAGCCCGGCTATGAAGGACGACCAGGGAGACCAGCATCTGTTACTGCAAGGTTCTGAAGCTACAGCAGAGCAAAGAGCTATACAGAAATGTTACAGAAATTTACAAAGACTGAGGATATTCAAGTGGTATTAAACCCAAAAATGTAATATATTGCCATGTAACAATCGTTAGTTTTCCCTTTTTAGGCTTTTTTTCTTGTTTTCTTCTGGTCAGTAACACACCTCCTGTATTAGAGAGCCCCACTCTGGATGAAGGAGCACAGGGGGCACCTTTAGACAGCAGCATTGTCAGTCTGGGAGGAGATGAGTATTAGAAGTACTAACAAATTGAAGCCAAACTCCAGCTAATACTTTATAAACAATTACAGCAAACGTTCTTTCCTTTTGGGATATAAGTGTGCCCAAGTGAAAGCTGATCATTGTAGGCACCCCTGCTAATGTTAAAAGGTTTGTCTCATCTCTGCAACTGATGCATTCTGCTGGAGAGGGTCTTCTTTTGAAAAACAACAGACTTACTGGCAGGATTGCCCGGTGAAAATAGATTAAAGAATGATTAAAAAAGAAAGCTAATGCAAGCATAACATCTAATAATTGCTATGCTGCAATATAATAAATGTTTGCTTTTGTTAATACAGGAACATTAAAGCGGTATTAAAGCCAAAAGAATCCAATGTTGTGTATCCTTTTATCATTTCAAGTGGAAATGTGATAGTAACAATCAATGTATTGCTATGGGTGGTGGGCCCTGCAAAGGGACAAGCCGAAATGGTAAACGTATTTTGCAGCAGCCCAGATAGGATAAACATAGTGCTCGCTATTTTAAGGTAGGCTGCTGGCCAGATCCAAAAATACACGAGTTGCAGTCCATATGTGCAACGACTTAATATATAGATGGTTGGTGTCACAATAAACAGGATGATCATAGAATAGTTCAAGAAACCCCGACTGAAGTGTACTACTTTTGAGCTTGTTCTACAATTAGCAGCAAATATTACAATCAATTGATACAATGCCCTTCAGATTTACCAACAACTATACCATTCGATGGTCTACCCCTTTGGATAAAACAAAAAAAACGGACAGATTGCTTACTTAAGTTCTCACCTGCATGGCTGATGGTAAATCCAAAGGAGACTGTACATTCAGACTGAACATGTGTAGCAAGCTTAAATAGGAACTTGACCCTCAATCAACATTGACTATTTGTAATCTTTGTGCTGCTAGTATTAGTAAATAGATAGGAAATTATAACATATTAACTTGTTCTAAACTTTTCTGCACTTCTTCAGTTGCTTCCTGGTTTGTGGCTTAGGCAAATGATGTCATACATCCCAGGAGTCTTCAGGAGGGTTTTTTCAAATGAGCACACCACCTTGCCTGCATATCTGAGTTAAGGGCAGATGG